CCTTTTTGTTTAGTAAAACAAGGGTTGTTAAATAAAAGTGGAGGCAGGATATAAACAGCAGGCCAATCAGAGATCAATCCTCCAACAAGAACTCATAGTACAGTATTCAGAGACATCTAATGGAATAACCATATTACTCACAATGGAAATAACAGAAAAGCAAGCAGAGAGCATGCAGTGACAGGTTGTTTTGGGAGAAGAAAAGATATGGTTGATGAAAGGTAAATTTCTCCTAAATTGAAATACACGAGCATTATCCGCCACTATTATATATCTAAAAGAAACTAGATGGTACAACCTACAGGAAAAAAAGAACCTGGAAAATTGAAGGCAATGAAGCAACAATCAGAATTTACCTTTTCCCTTCAACATCAACACCATGAACTAAAAACTCATCAGCATAGTTAGCGAGAAATTCTAATACTTCCTCGTCAAGATATACATCACTGAACTTCTGCCATCTATCAGTGACAATTGCATATTTACCATCCTGCACATCAGAAACAGCACATCCAAGGTCATAAAAGGTAGAAGTAGAAAATACAGTACCTTTAATTTGTGAAAGGAGATAACAGTAGATGTCGTCACAGATACTTTGTTTAGGCTACAATACTTGAGACATGCTATCAGTTCTGATATGTTACCATGTAAAACTTGATATACCAGCAGGTCATTAAAAATTAAGTTGCAGAAAATGTCAGAAGTTCAGTCATAATCTTTCAAGTTGGATATCACCCTAAGGTGTACTCAATGTCTACAAAAACAGATATGTGTGATTATTGATTTCATACCTTCTTTCTGCAGCTAAGGTCTAAAACAAGCTTCTGCTTTCCAACAACATGAACAAGATCTTTCAGCCTATCTAGGTCCATTTGACCATTCTTAAAGACATACTGTGAGAGACACAAACGAACTGTTTAAAGAACATGTAATCACAAAAAAAAAAAAAAACAAAAGGGATAAATGAAAACAAAAGGTCTTCCAGGGATACTTTCTTGGGGGTACTCAACATGCCTGTTCCAATCACATTAAACACTGGACTCAAAATATTAACCACTATGACATGGACTTAGCACTGCTATGAGCATTTCTTAACAAACATAGAGCACTATTGATGCAAGAGCTCCCTTTAGATTTTATGTGTCACATGATAAGCATCTGACCTTTTAGAGTATTTCCTTGGAGGTTAAGTTGTTTTACATGGTGACTAAGACTAGTGAATACCTTTCATACAAGGGTCTAGGGCTTTAACCAGTATATATAGGTAACCAGCTAGTATATGTAGGTTGCAAGGATTATTTTAATGAACTTTCTTCGTTAGTTATCAATCCATTCATATTTTAAAGGTTTCTTGATGAACCCTAAACCTTATTATCTTGTTCCAGCTTCAATTTTATTCATATTTTAGCCATTATTCTGCTGCCATTGCTGTTTTATACTGTTTTATTCTTCTCACCCTCCGTCAACTATGAATATATGCAACCTTGTAGCAGGAACTACAAAAATGCCCAAGAGACAAATGCATGGCAAAATGTGAGCACAAAGTACATGACATACTGAAGTAACAATAACATGGCTGGCTCCTTCCTCTATTTAGTTCAAAGCATTGTTTACATTGATACCACCTCCAACTTGCAAGCCGCCTAGATTTTTCAAATCCTCACAGTAAGTTCAGCAGAGGAAAAATCTGTAAGTTTTAAACATCCCATCAACCATACAGAAGTAAAAGAGCATATTCACTATACAATTGACCCCATTTCAAAATCTCAGTATAAACAATAACACAAACCTTTTTGCGTTAGAGGAAATTAACACCCACACATGTTGTATTTTAAACAGCATCTCAATTGTAAAATTACCCCAAATATACCAGTAGAGTCAGATTATCTCCAGCAAAACAAAGGGTTTTTTTACACTCAACAGGAATAGAAGTCAATGACAGAATAATCCAAATAAAATCATCTTTGTTCTATATGAGGGTTTATCATTAAACAGAGAAATTCCATGAACCATACCATACCATCAACCAAAAGTGAATTATTTGTGGGATAGGCAAATTTGTATTTTCTGGAATAGTTTTCTTAAAGAACCACAACTATGGAAAAAACTAACATTACAAAAGTAAAGAAAAAAATCCAATCCACCAGAAACAAAAAAATATAGACCTACCAGGATAGGCACGCAGAGCTTCAACAGCTGCAGCTTTGCCCAAATCATCAGCTCCGAGCATGATCACATGACCACCCATCAGCCCATCTTCTTTATACAAATTTGCAAACTCCGCTGCCGACTTATCTGATTCAAAATTTGTCACAAGAGCTGAACCATCCTCTTCCTTCGAGTCTCGAAGGGTAGACCCAACAATTTGTTTCACCTTCCCCTGAAAAACAAATCATGATTTAAACACGAAACTAAACCCACTCTTTAACCTAACATAGAAATAGCACCAATATTTGAAATTTAAAACCCAATCCCAAAACTCAATTCAATAATAGAATAGGCAATAAAAACTGAATTTTGCTAAAATGTGACTTCTTGACTCTATAAGTGAAAGCATAAGCCACCAAATCACCTACTCGAAGATTGATAATTTGATATATAAAATCAGAAAGGGTACTTAAAATAGCAGTCATATCACACTCTCATTCATGAAATTATCTATTACAGTTTACACAATTTTTAAGCAATTCCTTCAAGCATTCAACTTAGTAAATCTTACAGGATTAAACAAAGAAAGAAGGAACAAAAGAAAAGAAAACCCAAAAATTGAAAAGATTATCAGTGAGAACCATGAAGAGAATTACAATACATTGAATCAAATACCTTGTGTATATCAATGCAGGGTCGAAAACGAACTGCACATTTTATAGAAAAGCAAGAAGAAGAAGATTCTACAAGAACAAAAAGATTATAATTTCAAGTCAGAACAGGTTAAAAAGGACTGAATCTCAGAGAAAATAGAACTTTTGCAAAAGAGTGAGATAAAAAAAAGAGTGAAAGCAACAAAGCAGGAGCATACGAGAGGAGGCATGCAAAGAAGGGAAGGATGTAATGAATCTGTTTCCGTGGTGTCTTTGAAAACCATGAAAGAATGAAGAGGAGCTGAAGACCTTTCTTGATGCAAAAAACTTGGAAGAGGATGAAGCGGAGGCGTGTAGGCTGCTGCTGCTGCTAGTTGCCATTCTTGGTTTCGCTGACGAAACTGCGACAACAGAACTGACTAAGAGTGTGTTCAGTAAAGAAGTTATTGATTTTTAAAATGTTTTTATTGTTAGAAAATATATTAAAATAATATTTTTTAATTTAAAAAATATTTTTTAATTTAAAGTAAAATGATTTAAAAATATTAAAAAATATATTAATTTAAAGTAAAAAAATAAGAAAATTAAATATTTTAAATATTTTTAAAACACAAAAGTAAATAAAAATTAGATGGGATTGTGTTAAAAATTTTGTTTTTTAATTTTTTAAAGATAATATTTTTTAATTTTTAAAAAAATATTGTTATCAAAGAGAATTTTGGATGATAATTTTTTTTTTAACATTAAATGATTATTAAAAAATAACCATTTATTTTTAATTTGTTTTAAATAGTATAGTTATTTATTTGCCTCCAAGCTCTAAAAATAAATTTGAATTGCTAGCTATTTTTTGCAAGATTATGAAAGTCCCTCTTTTCTTTTTATGATTAATTAATTTTTAAATAAAAAAGCAACATGCGTGTGACCCTCAAATTTTTAATGAATTTTTTTTTGCTGGTTTTTTTTTCTCATTATTTTTCTCTTTCTCTCAACAAAAATGCACATCTATTCTCTTTTTTCTTTTTTTTTCATTTTTCAGTTTTGGTCGATGGATCTTTTAAAAAAAAATTTGATGTTTTTAATTCTATCCTTAAATTATAATTTATTATATATTATTATTTTTTATTCATTTTTTTATTTTTAATTTATTTTCTTAGAATTTTTTATTTATTTTATTTATTTTTAATTTATTTTCTTAAATTCCAAAAAAAATTGGTTTTATGATTTTTTTAATTTATTTTTTATTATTTTATTTCAGTCTCATAGTTGAGGTCATATGTTTTTCAGGTTTCTTAATAGATTTTTTTTTAAAAAAATTATTTTATATTTAGTTTTTGAATTTTTTTATTTTTATTTTTTACAGATAAGTTTTATTTTATCAAAAAATATTTATTTTGAAATAATATTTCTGATGTGTCGAGTCTTATATAATATTATTTTTATTTTATTTTATTCACTATAATTTATATGTTTTTTTATTATTTTTTATTGATTTTAATAAATAAATTTTATAAACATAAATGAGTAAATATTTTATTTTATGAAATTAAATATTTTAATTCAAATTCATCTCTCATTTTTTTTAGTTATTGCTAACAATTTTGTTAATTTATATTAATGATTATTAATTTGTTTGATTATATATTTAGATATGCTTTTTAATTTATATAAAAAAATATATGGAAATAGCCTATTTACCTATTTTGTTTTTTTTAAAAAAAGTTACAGTTTGCGGCAAAACACCGGTCAAATAACGTATATATTATCTTGGGTTTGGTCCTTGGTATGGTAATAACTTGGTATGGTAATAACATAGTTATGAAAGCCACAGACATAAAGTCAAGTCATAAATTGTAAAATTAATTTAAAAAGATAAAATAATTTTGTTTTAATTTTTTAAAACTAAAACCATATCTTCTTGATTTCTTATAAATTTAATTTAAATTTTAATGGAATTATAGATTGAGTTATCAGGCATTGAGATGACGATAAATCAATATTTCATGTCAGATTTGATTTAATAACTGAGATTAGAATGGAAAAGATCATCAGATAGAACTTAGTGAAGCAATACCAAATCTTCTGATATTGTAGCAGATGAAAAGTTCTTTGAGTACTTGATAAAAATTTGAGTTACAGTTTGGGTACTAATCTTCAAGCTCTTGCTTCTGCTACTGACGGGTTTTTAGAGGTATCAAAAAAGCACTCTCTTTTATCTCCTTTTCTAGTTATATGTTAAGGGTAGTTGGTTTGAGAGTTAAGTTAGGGTTTGAATGCTTGTGCTTTTGATGACATGGCCATTCTTTTGCAAGCTGGCTTTTAGAATCCATGCTTGAGAACTTTGCAATATCCGGTCCAAAATGTTGCAAAAATTTGTCACCTCAGTTGCTGTTTTTTCAAGCAAGTTGAATTTTCAATGATAGTGAATAAGCACTTGCAAAAGAGCAGCAATGGCGATGGATTAGGTGCCCAACGTTGTAGAAAATGTCCAAGTAACATATGGATTGAAACTTTTAGTGGTGTGATCGTGGAAGAGGAAGAAGCAGATCCTTTGATTCTGGATTTACCTTTTACTTTAGCCCTACCGATCTATTTTGGTATGTTCTCTGAATCGACATGATTTTGACTTGTGTTAGCAATCCTTTTATGGGGATTTATCATGTTTTTTAGTTGCAGGATCATTCCCTCGTTGTCTTCGAACTAGTATCATAGTCTTAATGGTTCATTCTGGAGGAAGACAGTAAATTACTGTGGGAATTTACTGATATTGTTTTGTTCTGGAATGTATTTGCAGATTGGGCAATATATTTCCTCTAATGGCGGTGTTGTCGCTGCTGAAGAACTAGCACCATTTCTTGATGTGAAAACTACCGAGGACATGGTATGCATAGACGTGTTTATTTATCTACCTTGTATGATGATGTAGTTACTCTTCTTTAGTTGCTAAAACCGGCCTTTTCTGCTCTTGAATTCGCAATGGTTATTTTCTCTCGAATTCATACCTGGGATTGACCATTATCAGTTGGAAGTTATGAGCTAGGTGCTTGTCTATTCAGAAGTTAGGGAAAGAACCAGAAATAGCCTTGTATGCTGATTACAATTTCAACTCCAACCCTCTTCCCTGGAGAGGCATGTGTCATTATTTTATCATTGTTTCATGGAAAGTAAAATCTTGTTTTTCTGCTTCTAGTTCCAGCTTATTATACCACATGGATCTTTCAACCATTTTGGATGCTTTGCATTGTTACAAGAATCTGAGATGTGGTCAGGAAATCAAGCTTTAAAAATCGAGGGAGGGCACATCCAATCATGCTTTTGCCTAGTACTGAAAGTATTCACGTCTCCAGGGCTTGAGCTTGCTGTAATATTCTCAGATTGCTTGGAAGTGTCGCAGCCTTGCACAAACTCCAAGTGGAAGTCGATCCAAAAACTTTTGGATCGACAGAGGAAATAAATTGGAAGCCTAATGCTGCCACTGGTGCCGTTTGCAACTGTATCAGCGAGGATCCAAGGCAGCCAGGCATTGCTTATGCAATAGTTCCAGTTTCTTCAGCAACATTTTTCCCAAGATAAAATTCTTGTGTTACGAGGCTCATGTTTATATAGATGTACATATAATATTGTTTTGAATTAAAGAAGATAACATAAGAATAAGGGCATTCAAATTGAAAGACAAGGAACCCTCAATAGGGATGGAATATAAGTTTTGAAAATTTGTGGTGGCAGACAACGGGAAACCATCCAATCTCATCATTATTGCCGTAAGGTCGCCGTTACTGGGATTTGTGAATCTCATTTTATTCAAATACTTGGGCAACAGAGTCCTTAAAACATCTCCTGGCGTCATCCTAATCCTAAACCCAAATGATATCAATGAACAATGAAGGGGAAGTTGGCTTCCAACCTCCGCTCACAAACCAACTTGCTTATGAGAAGAGCTCCCTTCAAAAGCAAGATGTTGCGTGCCTTAATGTCCTTGTTATATGATAAACTTGCTAGTGATCATATCATACTAGCATTATTGAAAATTTCGTGCTCTTTACTGTTAGTTAACTAATTCAAGTTTGTCACTACAATCTTTTCTTTATGGTGATCAAATCATTCAAGTTACTGGAATACAGATCGCCCCTCTTCGTATGGTTCATGGTTCACATCCTAGTTGTACACTATATAAATTGAAGAAATATTCTATTTTCATTATATTATGTTATGCTATATCAAACAAAATTTGAAATCATACATTAACCATGGAAAATATATGGAAAAAAAAAAACTATTCTGCTTTTGTCTGAGAATGGCCAAATCATAAATAGCCAGTAGCGTGCAAGTTCCAACATGTACTCAAAGAACATGCATGTAGAGGTCCTAGAGGATAACATGGATCCTTCGGCCAATAAAGGGGGTGAACGAGTGAAGATACGACCAGCATCCTTTGCCACTTAAAGAATATATACATACTCAATAAAGCCTTGGCTTACTGACGTAACTATACAAATAAAATTCTAATCTTCTGCCACTCACCAATGCCACTATTCTATCATGAAATGCTAATAAAAAGCCATCACAAACAGCCAAAAAATAAAAAACCTGGATTCTGTCCGCCAAATCCACAGTTACACTTTCAAAATGCATTAGCGGTGGAGACCAATAGTCATGACATGACCAGCAAATTCATCTTTTCATCGTTCATTAGCAGCTACACATTTCCCATCAGCAAGGTAGTAGTTGCGACCAAAAAACTTTCGGTCAGAACGCTTAGATGCTAGCAGATTTTAGCAGCAATTTACCATCTTCAAGCAATTCTGGACACCAATATACCTGTACCAAGCGCACAATTCAAGGTAATTTAATTTCAAAAGAATCCTGTCATTGTTGCTGATGTCCATCTCCCAAATGTCTGAGTAGAACAGTTATAGTAAATATCTAGAGTAATGCGCTACAATAGAAACAAAAAGAATGTTTCAACATAGCGATCTCTAATTACTGCAAGTTCAACCTTTTCAGGTAGAAAATCTAGGGTGCTAAGAAACTCATGCTAGAAAAGGAAAGCAAGGCAAGCACTGTAGCTTTATTTTGTATCCACTGAAAATTGATTGTTAAACAAGGACATTGTTCCATCATCTTTGCAGCACATCTAGCATCTAAGGGAACATCATATCCTCGCATGGCATTTTATTGCATAAATTCAAGTAGAACCCCCATGACTCTTGGTTATAAATAATGAATTCAAATCTCTGCTTGCTCAATTTCTTAAAAAAAAACTGCTAGTTAAAGCGTCCCTGTTTTGAAAATGCAAAACAAAATTCTGATTCAAGATGATCTTAAAAGTAAAAAATGTTCTACCACCTCTGAATCATACCTAACATCTATAAGTAAACAGGGAATATATATCATCATGTGGCCTTCTATTGGATCACACTAACTCACTCTAATTTTGGTTTTACATAATGATATCAAATTTTAAGGGACCAAAGGTTTCGTGCATTACCTTACTCTAGTTTGATGTGGTAAATAATTGCCAGTTGAAATCAGGAAGAGAGAAAAAAGGTAATGGAAATTCATAATGCAAAGTTGACTTACCCAAAAATATGAGGGTAAGAATTGTTGTCAATATCATTTTCATTGAATGTTGATTAAATTCGAAATGAAAGGGAAATCTTTGATATCTTGCCCCAAGGCTGCTGCCCAGGTGCATTACTTCTGATTGCAATCTAAAGCATATTCCTTGGAGGCTTCTGTATCCAGATCCTAGCATTTGTCCTATACAATGGCCCTGTAATAGAGAAGCAAACTGATAAGCATCTACTGCTTTTACATGATTGGTAGGCAAGAACCATTTTCACTAGCATCCCAAGTCATCATATCATGCTTAAATATGTTTTTGTAAATATGGGATGTCAGACTTTCTTATAGCATCTAGTGCATCTTCCAGACATGCATGTAATTTCCAACTTGCAACTCTTAAAGCACCAAGAAACAACAAAAAGTTGCATGATCCATGAATATGAAAAAAGAACAAAAAATCCTTGATTGGGCAGAACTTTTCATATAGCTGTCATGCTTCAATACCTGAGAAGTGGATTTTTCCTTTACCAGAAAAAAGGCTATAAACAGACTTTCTGATAACAAAATTTTAGTTAAGAGTAGCCTTGGCATGGATCATCCAGGTACCTGTGCAGAATGAGACGATTCAGTGTAAGTAGGTGAATGCCTATATTCTTCTCCATCTTTCAACCTCTTTGTATAGTTCCTGCCAACTCTGTTCCTATGAGCAGTCCATAGGTTGCTCAAGAAACCAAAGAAGATCATGATGCTGTAGATACCTCTTGACTTGATCTCATGGAAGAAACTCCTAGATTTGGCTTCATTAGCTTCCAGGTCCCAGTGATCATCACCAACATGCCTGTCATGATGCATCTCTTGCCGAGAGTTCATCATATCTGAGCCTAATCCGGTGGAGTTATGTGAAGCAACATTTCTCTTATCCTCATTTGCAGAGTCAAGATAACGATCAGCATGCCCAACTCCAGTCATTTTTACCATCTCAAATTCTCTGCTGTCATGCTCAACAATTTCATTATCCTTTAAACTAACACCTGAGTTTGGATCAAGGAATCTTCTCAAAATGCTACTTTCTTCCATTTCATAAGGATGCATATTTTCAGTGGGATTTCCTCCTGTAAGAAATGATGCTAATACATCTCTGTCTTGGTCATTTAAATTAACCCATTCAGAGTTTCTCATGGAATCATCCATTGAACGGCCCTTCACACTTTTCTCCACTTCATTTATATGTTCCCTAATGGCTATAATAAACTGCCTGTGCCTGGAAATCACATCTTCTCTGGCTTGAGATTTGTTCACTATGCTTGATGAATTAACAGCTCTTTCAAAATCTTCCAGCTGTTTGGGAAAATAAACAGAATCAGACAACTAAAACCACAAAATGGAAAGTAAGCTTCTCATCAGCAAATACCTGCCATTTCGCAGTTCCAAGTATGGTAGCAAGATCGCGCTTATGATATTCTATTGATGAAAGCAATCTCGGGTCGGGATGTTCACTCCGAACAAGACTCTGCTCATGCAATAGAAGGCGAAAAAGCGACTCCATCCTAAACATTAACAGCAACAGCAATCTTAAGTTCAAAGCAACATTAAAATCTACCCTACATATGCATCTTCCCACGTTAACACGTTAGAACAAAATAATTCAACCCCGAACAAGAGCCTAACACAGGCAGTACCACAATTAAGTTCAATAATCAAAGAAATGCTAGCAAAATGGTTATTTTAAATTTTTCTAGACATCAGTAATATTACCACAATGTGCTATGTGCTTTGCACTAGCAATAAAAGGAAAGGCCAAACCTAATCTTACATAACATATGATGTACTAACAATAGAAGTAAAGCTAAAAAAAACACAACTAAAAGAAATCCAATCCATCAAAGATAAAGTTTACAAAGAACCCAGAAACTAAATCTTCAAAAACAGCTTAATAATCAATATAAATGAAATCTTTTTGTTAGCCCTCTAATCAAGCACATTCAAAAATCAAGCCAAAGTTCCCAACTTTAAATAGAAACCAAAGGAAAATGGCATTAAATGATGGAATCTAACCTGTCAGCAGAGTCTTGAACCACCTCAGCAGCTGAGAATAAGGGGTCAGATTCCCATTCATGAAAACTTGATGCCATTTATTGAGCCTAAGAAAAAAACCCAACAAAAGTTCACATAAAAAAGCTCAAAGGCTGCACCTTTAAATAATGATGATCTTTAACAAATGAAGAAAGTGAAAGACATGATACAAATGGAGAATAGAAATGGGTTTTTGCAAACTTACTCTCTCTCTCTCTCTCTTTGAAGTTAAAATGGAAATAGGTTTCTCTTTCTGTTGAGAGAGAGAGAGATATTTATGAGTTTGTATGGTAAGATTTAGGTTTCACAGATGATGAAGATGGTGGTGCAAAAAGGCAGAGCAAAAAGAAGGTAAGGTAAGGAAAAGCATGGATTTGAGGTCTTTTGGTCATTTTAATTTACAGATGGATTGTCTATCTGTGAGTTTCTTTTATTGGATCGACCATTTTTACTGTTTTTTTTTATTTGTTGCTCTTGTGATGATATTTTATTAGAATCAAAGTGCAGCAGAACTATTTTCAAATTCAAAACCACTGATGATATTAGAAATTTCTGCTTGGAAGGGGTCAGGTTCAAGAAGACAAAAATAACTTTTAAAATTGTTAATTTTCTATTTTTCAACTTTTTTTCCTTATTAATTTTTACGTTTTTTTTTTTAGAATTATAAAAGGAGATACTTCACATGGATAAGACATGTTTTTATATATTTGATATTTTAAAATTATATAAAAAAGTTCAAAATTATTTTAAAACAAAAAAAAAATTAATTAAAAAAAAATAAGTTCAAACTTACTTTCAAAAACCGTAAAAGTTTCCATTGAAGAGTTTTCACTCCAGTCTTTGAAGGAGAAAGACATTTCCACTAATCCTTACAAAGGCCCAAGTTTCCGGCACTAGCTTCAAGATCAATTTATTATTATTATTATTATTATTATTATTATTATTATTATTATGTTAAAATTACTTTGTCTATGTTGATGGTATCTAATTTCTTTTAGTTTTTTTCTCAGTGATCTAAGCAAAAACTTGGAGGCAGGTCTGAGCCAATATCTTGAGGTTAAAGGGATAAATCGTACCCTGGCTGGGTTCTTGAACAAGGTCAGTGCAAAAAACCAGGAAGAAATGGTGTGGCTGAGGAAACTGAAGAAGTGTGGGAACGTATACTTTCTTGATCAAATGCCATCATCACTAGCTTGATCATAGTTCTTAATTAGAGCCCATTTATCCTTCCATTAATTAATAGTTTCAGTATGAAGGATTCAAATATCAAGAACTCCAGTGGTAATTCTTGGTAACACGTTGATAGTATTTAACTACAGCTATGCAGGTGCAGCAGCTATGGTGCGTTCCTGCTCTTCGTCATCTGCTAAAATGCTTTCTAATTCTGCAACCGAGTCTTGTAACTCGCGAAGAAGATCAACCATGTGACAGTTGAGTTCATGCTTACTCTTGCACCTTTCTTTACAATTTCAATTCCATGGAGAAAATCTTGTAAGCTTTTCTTATGAAGGCTGACGATCAAAAGGGCTTCGACATCTTTGGACATTCTTTCGAATTCTTCAACCATATATCTTGATAGTCGTGAAGAAGATTAACCATGTCACAGTTGAGGTCATGTTTGCTCTTAAGCCCTTCTTTGCACAATTTTAATTCTTGAAAAAATTGCAACCGTTTTTTCTTGAAAATACTTGCAAATAATGGAGCTACTTCCATAGTCTCTATAAGGCTATAATCCTAGAATCAAGACCTAATTTGTGCACTCTTGATCAAGACTTACTTCAATAGAGTTTTTGTAATGTTATCGTTTTTTAATGTAAAACATTTACAGTAGCATTATTCTTTAGGTCCATGTTTACAGGATACTTAACTTGCCTTGTGAGTTATTTTCATAAAACTCTTGTTCTCCTAAATTCAGAGTCTAATATTTTCACACAATTTTTAGGGTTCAACATGCCATTAATATTTTACGTACTATTTGATCTTTATATATTATCTTAACAATTAAAAACAATAGTCAAAAGAAAAAAATCTCTATTTGACAGGCTTTCTTTCTATGCCTGTGGATTCCATTAGACCCATAAATAATATACTAGAAGTATCATTTGGATCTTCCAATATCAATAGTTCGATTGTTTTGCTCCAATATCTTTCAAAGGAAAAAAAATCATATTTTCTGGTCTCATTCTTAATTTGAATGATTTTCCGATAGACATTAAAAATAAATTAGTGTCAAGTGCGGAAAAAGGCCTTTTCTTGAGTGAATTTTCAGTTTTTTTTTTTTGTTTTTTAATTAGTTCTAACTATCTATTTTCCACTGTGAAGAGGAGTTGGATGTGTAGAAGAACATGTATATTGATAAAGCAATTTTTGTTACCAAAATATAAAATTGACTTGAAAAAGTAAATGATTTCTAGTTACCTATTACCCTATATTTAACATAAACCAATTAAATATGAACATGAACCTATTAAATGAATAAAGGGATTTCATTTAATAATTCAATAAATTCTTTATCTTTGCTTCAATCAAATTGAGTAATTCAATAGGTTTGTTGGTAAGTTAAACTATTTTTAAGTTATCTAATTTTTTTATATTATACAATTTTTTTTTATGATATTGCACTTTGTATCATTTAATAATTCAATAAATTCCTTATCTTTGCTTCAATTCAATTGAATTTAAAATAAAAATAGAGAAATATCAAAGAAATTTAAAAATAAATTTTTAATATTGTACTAGTAGAGAAACATGTTTTCCTAAATATTTTTTTTCTTAAACGTATAAAAAATCATTTAAGAAACAAATTTATTTTATGTCTGTCATTGTCTCGGTTTCTTCAACCAAATATATTTATATTCCTTTTATATCTACATTTTCTATCCTAAAACACTAATTAAAGATTATTATTGTTATTATTATTATATGATCATGGAGGTTCAATACTGGGTCTATTAAAATCATACCAGTTAAACATTGTCTCCAATTGCTATCAACAACTGTTTTTAGTGTGTGACGTGCGGTTTTTATATTACATGAAGCTTGAACATTGTCACTTTTCTCACAAAGTGTGGGATGGTCATTCTGCCTTTTTTTCGTTCCCCTTTCTGAATCAACTCAAGTGATTTTTGTCAGCATATAACCTAACCATGTATACTTTATAGGGCAAGCTCAGCCTATGAGGTACTTCATGCCATAAATCATGCCTCGCAATGAAGCCAGTCCTTCAAACATAAAATTGAATTTTATATATATGAGCACTAGGCAAAAAACTATACTTACCAAGCAAACAAATCATAAAAAAAGAGTGCAACTTGGAACACTGGGAAGTATTAGAGTGCACATGATGCATTAGCAAGGTATTTATACCATCACACTGACATACTCATGACCTATACATATGAAGATTTTTCTCGTCCCCACAATGTGGTGATAGAATTGCATCGGTTAACTGAAAGAAAAACTATATTTAGTTTCAAGGCCAAGTACACACGCTGGAGGTAAATCTGATGGACCTTGCAAATTCGCATTAACTATAGAAGATAAGAACGGATGTCAAAAGAATTATTCAAAGGAATGTTTAAGAAATTTTAACCCATGACTTTTGGGCGCCAACCGGCAATGACATCCTCTGGCAGAGCGCGTGTGTTAACAAATGAATCCCTGGAGAAGATTTCCTGAATAACAGAAATTTAGCATAGTCAAAAACTAGACATCATTATACAGAATACAAGATGGCTATGATTATACTAAACCAGTAATCCACAGAACTATACTTCTACGGATAGTTTAGACACAGAATTAATGTTATAAACCATGCATCAAAATAACTAGTTGCTCAAGCATATTGAGTCCAATGTCTATGCCAGTTGCTCATTCGGAGAATAGGGTTTTGCATGTACTTGGTAATGTGACATTCAAGTTTACTCGTTAAGTCTCTGGCAGGTAGCAAGAGAAAAAGTACCTCAACTACATGACATTGTTTATATATGTTCCCAAGGAATCAGTACACCTCTTAACCAAATAGGGGTAAGAACTTGTGAAGTCATGAAGACAACAATGCACGATTACAGTGAGTTCTGAGGCAAGCCTATTGATTCATTAGAATTAGAATTTACAAGGCCAACTCTGGACTTTGACATGAAACCTATACTTTTCAAAATACATATTCTATGGTCTTTACCCAAATAATATACTTATTTCTTCTTTGTAACGAATGAACAATGTAGTGATAGGACGGCAGCTCCATGAAAAGTACTCCCAAATGGACCTAATCTATGAAACAAAGCCCAAAAAGAAAAAAAACTGGAGCATAATGGAAGTCATAAAGGCAAAACAAGCAACTTCAACCGAGGAATAAGGGAGGGGAGGATGCCTATTCTCGCCACTGTGCCATTATGGTAACAGTGGTGCAATAGAATATGTTACAGGTAAAAGACCATGGACAAAGTCTGCATTCATTGGCTGCACAAAACATGTTCACATATGTAACACACCATATCAGAGGATTAGCTTATAGGAGATACCTTCATGTAGGATTTGACGTAGGGAAGTGACTCTGGAACTGACCAGTTCTTATAATGCCCCAAAGCAATCTCTAGATGGTAAAGCTTTGGTCCAAGGGCCAAATCAGCTGCAGAAACTTTTTCCCCGTTGATAAAAGGGCCCTTCAAAGGAGAGAAGACAAAAAATCATATAAATCAGTAAAAAGAACCATCAGATTTCAAATTGGACAGTGCATAAAGAAATTTTTGAAAAACAAAGTATTAGATCGAAGTAACAGAGGCCTACAGATAAAATGTCATTACTCAACCAATTGTTTCAAACAAATGCATTTTAAAGTCTTGAAAGCAGCACCAACACTGGCATTTACGACTTCAGAACTCAAGAAGAATTTCTATGTTCAGGAAATATGAGAATCCAAAGCAATTTACATTGCTATAAAAATATGAATAGACATCTCTGTTGCAATCAGATTAATCCTTCACATGCTTAAGCTGATTATAACATTAGAAGGATGACATCATTGCGGTTCTTTTTTTCTTTTCTTTTTTCCTTTTTTTCTTCAGTACCACAAGGTTAGCTGACCACCAGAACTTCAAGGTAGATAAGGACATACATTCTCTTTGATATGATCGTTAAAAGCACTAAGCTCATCAAGCAATGCCTGCCCTGTTCCATCAACAGGGTCTTTGCTTTTAAGAAATCCAATAAATGTGGAGAAGATCTTTGAGCCACTGCATTGAAATAGATAAATAAAATCAATAACATAAAACCTCAACTAACATATGAAACTTGGGATCTACTATGTTGTTGTGAACTTCTAGCAAAAGTAACATTCAAAGTACAAACGCTGAACATCCTCAACTCAGCCAAACTAAACTTTATTCCCTAAGTAGTAGTCAGAGAATTCTTCCTCTCAATTTTGTATCACTTATCCCAAACTTTTTGCAAGCTGTTTTAACACTAGATCAGTTTTTGCCACGTCCACAACATCACTTTGGTGTACCTTTGATATTTCTGGCTACTAATATTCATAACACCAAATGTGGATTGTCAAAAGTATCAGTGCAATCAAAAACAAAACCAAGGGATCTGGTTCTGATCAATAAGATTTGGACTCAAAATGAACTCAGCCTCATCTGCAATGGAATCCGCCTCATTAACAACAGAACCAATGACCAAGACTTGTATTGATAATGAAATCTGGCAATTATTTGAGCAAACAACCTCAAATACAATGCCTTCTACATAGGAAGATGAGAATGATAAAGGGGAAGGGAAATATAAAGGATTCTGCATCTAGGCATAAAAAACACTTTTTGCACCCTCAAAAAGGTTGTGAACAAGTAGATAGGTAGTCTCGTAGAGTCAGCAATTTCAGCATTCTAATATGGAAAGTTCAAGCTAGAAAACTCTAGTAAACTATAAACTCTCCAGAAACCTCAAAGGTGGCAATTCAACAAACATTGACTCTAAACAAACCATTCACTATAGTTGCATCTGACTTCAAACTTGACCAGATTTTCTTTACCAAAAGAAAATATTTTTTAAATGATTTGATTTTTATAAGTGGAATTTTATGTTCCCACCACCATCAATCCCCTTCTCCTCCTCCTCCTCACAAATAAATCAGTAAATTTAGAGTTATCACAAATGAAAATATTTAAGTGCAATATGAATGCACTGTAAATATGAAAGAATTTGTAACTCATGCTTTACAGGATGCTTACCAAACACCTCCCAGAAAATGGAGGCACCAAAAACACTATTAGGTCAGAAAGTAAAAGTGACAATGGTAATTTTTGTAGCACTGAATGTAAAACATACACTGAAGCCTTTTCAGATGGGATTGCCAACGGGGGATCTGGAAACTTTTGTTCCAATGCTTGCGTGATAACATCTGAATCTGAAACCCAGTTCTCCTCAAACTTTATCAAAGGAACTTTACCATCTGGGTTTAGTTTCAAGAACCTATATCAAAGAAGAAACATAACTGATAAAACAAATGGTCAAATACAAACCAAGTAGACAAAACAGAGTAATATAGCCATCCACCATCACTTGCTTTTCTTCTTCTTCAATGCCTTTGGTTAAAACCAAGGAACTACCTTTATTTTGACCAATGTGGGTTGAATTCAAAATTTCATCAACAGGAAGTACGGCGTTTCTTTCTTGATGGTTAGTATAGTCGACACTATTATGATTAGACAAAAATGTTGATCAAATCATGCTCAGTGCATTCGTTTTTCACCCAAAGTCATTATAGAATTTGACTATTTGCTACAGCAGTAAGAAGTAATTTTTTTCCATCAGGATATCTATTCAAAGTCCAACACAATCAACTTATATTCTGAAGTAAGTGTAAATAACACCAAGTACGTAAAGGGTTGGCCAAAATTGCAAGACCTACAAAATTTTCCAAATAGATGAACAAAATCATTATCTACTCGCTATTCAATTCTCACATGGGAGCTCCGCCAACATTCAGTTAAAAATTGGAAACTTTTACGAGTTTTCTGTAAAATCCAAAAACTTTTGGATAGCACCCACAATTTCGCCAGTGCCCTCTACAATTTTTTGTTTACAATATGGACAACGTTTTTTACATAACATTTTGCGATTTTGCTCCAGCCTTCCCTAACATCGCAGTAGAAATACACGAAATTATTAACCATAAAACACTCTAGTAAATTTATGGAACTATAGTACGATCTTTTGTTTACAGGATTCTAACAAAGGAGCTGGATTCATGTCAACTGAGTCAAGAAGTCGAAACGCCGTGAAACATTTTATGAAAAGCGCATTAATATCGTAATTTCTTCAAGGCATTGTAGAAATGAACACGGGCAAATGGCTTAAAGTAACTTACCATTCAGGTTTGTTCCCCAAATCAACAAACTTCATGTCATAAGGCAGATTCTTTTCCTCCAAAGTAAGCAATACCCTTTGACAAAAAGGACCTAACAAAGCATTAAAAAAAGACCCATCAATTGCCATTTCCAAATGACCCAACAAAAGAAAAGAAAGAAAACACGATTCACTCACAGTCACCAAGTTTATCAGGGACAGTAAGAGAAGCTTTGACACAGATTTCAAGAGGGTCAGAAACTGAAGCAGCGGACATTGAAACAGTGAGGTTTCTTTTGATTCTTTGGCGTCTAAAAGCAGCAGAGTGGTTCGTAGGGAGTCGGAGAGAGGTTAAACCGAAGTGGTGTTTGATTGTGGAAGACAGAACACAAGCTGCTGTTACTGTTGGTTGGACTCTTGCGGTCGACATTTTTTTTTTTTTAATGTTTTTGTGCTTTGCTTGATTGCGTGGCTGTCTGTCGAAAAATTGAGACTGTGAAAGAGATGAGGCGCTGTAGTCTATACAGGTGCGAACTATCCCTCTGGAAGCGACCAGATTCTGGCCGTACTGCTTTAAGGGTGTCTGTAATTGCAGATAAAATAATTTAAAATTTAATTTTTTAAATTATTTAAATTAGTAATATTAAAAATTATTTTAAAAAAATATTATTTTATTAAATTTATAAAAAATACTTTAAAAAACAACTTTTACTCCTGTACTAAATATATTTTAAAAACTCAATTAGGATGAGGTTGAATTATTTTTAAAATTTTTAATTTTAAATTAAATTTTTAAAAATTTTTAGATTAGAAGTTTTAAAAAATAAAAAATATTATTTTTATATATTTTTAATTAAAAAATATTATAGCCCTATTTTTTATTTTTAAAACAGCTCCGAGAAAACCTTCCAGGCGGGTAGAGCGACTACTTATCGAGAGTGTATCATGTTAAGTTAGCTCGAAGAATTGGCCTTGAATGGGCTTGTTCATGGACCGGGCCACGGCCTATTCTTTAATAAATTTTGCCAGATTGTGAGCCCGTCAAAGGCCAACCCTGACAAATTAAGAATTAAGCCCAAGTCTGTGAACTGTTCTTCTCAGGAGTGAATGATGAACCATTCAAGTGCTTTCATGCTTCTTCCTCGCCCAAATTTACAAAGAAACTCGACGGGAGGTCAAATGTGGGTTTGGAAGAGATAAAAGGATTTTTGGAAAATACGTAAAAATTATGTGTAATGATTATCATAATTGTTAAAAAATGCATAGTCTAGTGGGTTGGTGAAAGTCTGGTTTCTATTTGAAGCAAACAACACATTGAACAAAATATATAGCGAGGAAGCTTTCCACTGCAGTGACAGATATATTATATCAATGAAATTATTATTAAAAAAAACAGTGGGCTTGGTTATGGCTGTAATTTGATCTTTTTCGGTAATTTATTGGTTATTAAAAAATTATTAGATGGTATCTAAGTTTTTTCCTGATTTTTTGCACATTAAAATTATGTTTTTACCCCAAAGTCAGTAAAGTCTAGAAATTCTGACCAAGATCTTTTTCATCCTTGCATAAACATTAAAACAACAAAAATACTTTTTTGTTCTTAGGTAAAATAAAATTATAGTCGGTGATCAATGATTTTTTTGGTTTTTCCCTTCTTAGACCATTACAACAATAATTTTTTTATATCGATTTATCCTAATCTCATTATATTGGCCACGAGTTTTACAAGCTTTTTCTAGATAGATTTTTTTAATTTATTTTGTTTTGTATTTATTTTTCTAAAAGTTTGTTTTTTAATTTTATACATACAGGCTTTATTTTATAAAAAAAAAATAGTTATTTATAATAAAGTTTGTTTTTTAATTTTATACATACAAGCTTTATTTTATAAAAAAATAGTTATTTCTAATATGTTAAACCTTGCATAGTATTTTTTTTATTTTATTCACTCAGTTTTATATATGTTTTTATTTCTATTATCTTTTATTGATTTTAATAAACAAATTTAGTTAACGTGAATGGATAAAAAATTTTATTTTACAAGATCAAATATCTTGATCTATATTTATCTTTTAATTTCTCTAGTTTTTCTTTCAGTTATTATTAATTATTTTAATTTATTTATTTACATAGATGATTATCAATTTATTTGATTAGATGAATGTGTAAGTTTTTTGATTTACACTTGAAATTTTTTTATGTTAAAAAAATATAGATATTAAAATAGTTCTGTATACTCAATTTTTTTAAAAAAAAAACTTTACAATCTACAGCACAACACATATTAAATAGTTAATTGTTATAAAAATTAGTTGGTCCAACCATATTTTATTTTTAGAGACCTTTCCAAACCTGATTAGGTTAATATCAAGCAAAAAGAATAAAAAACACTATCATTTTAATAAAAACAATTGATATAAATTGATCTAATGACCAATTTAATTTTCCGAATCAATCTCAAAATTGATTTTAGAAACAATAGTCAAAAAATTAAATAAATATTAAAATTTAAATTAAATAATGTTTAGAAACAATAGTCAAAAAATTAAATAATATATCTTTATTTTGATTGAGCTTTATTATTTGTTATAGTACGTATTTAAATTGGTTTTGATTTATATTCGAGGTTTCATAAGGTAACATGTTTAATTTTAATTTTTTTAATATTTATTTTATAAAAAATTAAATTTTATAATTTATTTTAATTTATTTTTTATATTAATATTAATGACAGGTGAAAAAGTATGTTCCAAGATCATGCCTGATCTTGGAACTCTTCAGAACTGTGCTTGTACCAAAAGCTGAGCACAGAGAATTTTTGTGCTGGACGAGAGCCTGGGTCTCGTATTTCCCTTGGCTGAATCATTTCAACATCTTACATGACAAGGAATTTATCGCCAGCTTTTCTTGTCACCAAAACCTGTCCTGAGCATCTAAAGTTTCTACACTCATTTTCCTGTTGTGTTTATTACATGACAAAACATTTATACTATCCGAAAATCTGACAAAATACGAACTTCTGATGCTGTGCTTCGAGAGTAGATTGATAAATACTTCACCAAAAAGAGATTATATCAGCTGTTACTTGCATATTTCTCAACAACAACTGTATTGAGTTACTTCGAAGTTCAGATATTAGAATCGAGGATTTAAAAGCTTTCTAATCGTCTTGAAATTTGCACAATCAACTACATTTTCTTATTTTATATTCTTCTAAAGGTCAGATTTTCACAAACTGGATTTGGCTTGTTGTGTGCTATTTTATTTCTGGCCAGATTTTAAATATATTATCATAAAAAGAAAGAATAAAAGAATTTTATTATTGTTTTAAATCCTGAATGATAATGTGAATGACAAACCTACTCACCAAAGTAGCCTAGCCTCGTATTTACATGTGATATGCGTTAATTGACAGATGCATCTACTTGGGTTGACAGATCTTCAGATTTCAGTATTTTACTTGGTTTTTTCATGTCCTTCAGCACTATACATTGACATGAAGTCATTTTGTTTTGTTCATTTATACTTGAAAGCTTAAAAGAAACTCCTCCTGACAGTCCTTTGACCACCTAGCATATGAAATAAAATTAAGTTATTGTTTGCATATAGTATTCAAAATATTATGAAATTTAACTGTGAGGGAAAAATACTTGCATCCAGCTGTGTTTTATTATTATTATTATATAAAAAGATAAAAGATGGAGTACGTAGGAATCCACAATATTGTTTTTTTTGCATTGTGACCTTTTTTTCCTTTATTAATGATTTTTTAAAATTTAATTCTTCTATGAAATATTTATGGTGATTTATAGTTGATAATTTATTTTAATTTATTTTATATTATTATCACGGTTAAAAAAACTATTTTGGGTTGATATCAGAAAAGTATATCAACATTGCAGTATAATTTATTTTTAAAAAATTAGTTAAAAAAATAATTTAATCCTTACAGTGGATTTTTGGTGTATTCTTGATATCACTCAGCTTATCCATGTTTCTGCACACAAAGAACTAATGTATAGATGACTGTTTTTGCTAAAGGTGGGTGGCAAAGTCTGTTTCCAAGATCAGGGCTAGCTTAAAACTATTCATAACTGGGCTCATCCTCAAAAGTTGAACGCAAATAATTCTGGCGTCAGACCAGGGCTTGGATCTCTTATTTCTGTTGAGAGAATCTGGCAAATCAGTGACAAGCAATTATCGCCAGCTTTTCCCGTCGCCAATAGCCATACAGTCATTTTCCAGCAGCGTTTCTGTGATGGATATGAAACTAGGAAAAGGAGGTTTTACAGAAGTTTCTAAAAGTGTTTGATTTGAATCTTCAAATGTAAACCTTCTAGATTGATAAATGTTTCAACGTGAATAGATGATATCCGCTGTTATTTGAGTTACTTTAAAGTCTACGAATTAGAATCAAGCATTTAATTAATATTATGAATGTTATTTCTTATAAAGATTGTAAATCTAGTCTTGAAATTCACACCATCTGCTGTAACCCAATTTTAGATTTACTAAAAAATAAATCTAGTCTTGAAATTCACACCATCTGTTGTAATCCAATTTTAGATTTATTAAAAAAATTTAAATGTTATTTTATTTTATTATTCATAACAAAAAAATATAAAAAAACATAAAAAAATAAAAAATTCATTCTGCATTTGCAATTGTGAATTTACTGTTTGGTTACTATTTTAAAAAATTCATTCTGCATTTGCAATTGTAAATTCGAGGATTACTGATCCTGTTGCGCCACGTCATCAGGTGTACCGAGTTCTCGGTACACCGCGACACACCATATCTCAGCCCATTCACTTCTGACCGTCCGATCAATTTAAAGATCAAACGAATCACAGCCGCATGATCTGTTCATCCGAGATCCAGCGGTTCATAGCCTCCA